CCTTCTTAACAAAAGTTAAAAATAAAACAATTCAGTATATAGCGCCTAAATTCCTACTAATTAACCAAAAGTTGAAATTGAAATCTTTAGCCTTACCAAAGAGAGTATAGTCTCTTAAAACTCAAAAAAATGCCTTCAGGTATTTGCAGTTACATTATTTACTACAAGTCAAACGGCACTAGGCAAATAGATTAGGTTAAGAACTTTGATTTTTTATTCAAGTTTATCTTAAATAAACTTCTGTTTTACCAAATACCTTGATATATATAAATCGCTATATATAAAAGTGACATAAGAAGAACATTTAGAAAAAAATTTTTTTAATGATAAAAGTTAACTGAAACAAGAAGATCGGCTTTCCTCAAAACTCTGGCAAAGGAAATTTTTAATACAACATATACCCTTAGTACAACATATAGGGTAGATGAATATTTTGCATTCTTCTTTGCTTTTACCAAAGCTCTTCGACTTTCCAAGTTACCTTTCTGCGTTCCTTGCTGAAAAGTTTTAATTGTACCCTACACCACTTGTGTATGGTACAATGTATATAAAGTTTGTGCGAACGTTTCTAACACGGACAAGAGCTTAAGATAGACCCACCTTTTATTATACCAAGTATTATATCTATTAAGCCTTTCTATAAAGGTTTCTTCACTATGCACGCTTTCATGAAAAATATGCTTTTGCACGAAAATAATGTATAACTATTGATGTACCTGTATTGCCAAAACGAGTAAATAATTGTATAAGATGAAGTGGTGTGGTCGGCGTTGTCCGACTATAATATTCTTAATTGTTTTAATTATTTTTAATGTTGAAGGAGTAAAATCATTATAGTGCGCCACGGCTCAACTATACCACTTCGTTTAACAAAGTTACTCATATAGCGACCTTTGAATCTAAGGCTTTATATGGGGTATTGGTCAAAAAAGCGGTCCGCTCGGAATAGTTTTTAATAGCGCTCGTCCTTGCACTAAAACACGTTGGCGTACCAAATTTCATCAAAATATCTTCAAAACTGCGACTTCTAGGATTAACACAAGAACACAAGATAGACAGACGGAGAGACAAGTTTAAATCAATTTGGAGATATATAAAATGATTCTGAATCGATCGGTGTAATAAAGGATGGCGTGTATCCCGATTCCTACTAGGTCCGTACGTGCGTAATATATCTTGCCCTGCACCACAAGTGGTGTAGGGCTTAAAAATCGATTTCAAAGAACTGTCAACTGTGTCCGATCGAAAAAGAGATCCAAATATGTTTCTGGTTTTGGGAAAATCCATTCGTTTTTACTAATTTACGAATTATGATTTCATATACAGTTCACAGGGTTCTTCGGATTGGTCAATATTCGCTAGTATAATGTTTTAAAATCGATTCTAAGACTTTCATGGGGGAAAAGTGAATTTATTAGTTAAGAAAGACGGAAATTTATGTTGTATCACGGTATTATTTTAAACGGAGTCTTAATAAGGAATCTAAACTTAGTTTTAATCGGCTTGTGAAAAAGATCTATGAAAAATTTTCATGAGACCTAAAACATATATATCCCAAAATATATCTACATATGTCCCAATATTTACGCAATATTTGAATTAAGTAGAAAACAGCGTTGTTTTTGTTTTAATTAAAATTTTTTTATTCAGTTATAACATGTACAGGATTTGGCCTCCACGACATTTGCCCAAGTAAATGCCATTGCTTGACCAGCCTCGTCTTCGAAGAAGTTTGATCAAACTTTTCATTATTTTTGAAATATTGTCCAGCAATGAAAACGTATTGCAATCTCGGGTAATGTTTCATGTTTACTAACTCTAAGCTGTCATTTGTCAAACGAACCGTTTTTTTATTGTTTGAGTTATCAACAGTCTATCGTGCATTGCGTAAATTCTGGATACCTGATATGGACATATATATTTACGGTTTTCATAGTTTATAGATTCTCTTTCTTCAATATATTGATCAATCGAACATGCCGTAGCTATTGAAAAAATGTCAATAATTTAGATTATGTAGCATCAATGAAAATCGTGAAAATACGATAATGAATTAACAACGTTAGGCTTGTTTGAATCTACTTTTTTCGAAAATAAAAGCGTTCTAAATATTCTATACTCGACGATCGTATTATGTGGAAGGTGTGAGATTGAGGAATAACTAGCAATCCGCCAAGTTATGTTCGAAGGAAGAACCAGGTTGTTATTTTTTCTCTCTCTCTGCCTCCACTTGAAATTATGTGGGCCGCATTGCGGAAGACCTTAGCTGAATTTAGAGAATCGAATAGGGAGAGGTAAATGAGATGTTCTGGAGGAAGGCAATTTTAAGGAGCGTACTCGTTGGTTGTGACGGGCTGCAACTTCTCGTCTTCGGTCCATTTGGGAAGATAAATAAAATTTTTTTTTTTTTTTTTAAAGTCACCATTTGAACACACCTATGAACAATTTTCTTAATAGCTTCGAAGGCACTCTTGGCATGATCTGTGCCGGATTAGAATGCGTGATAGATGAATTTAATAAGGAGTTCATTACGTTCACGTCTACCTCGCAACTCTAAAGCTTGACTGAAATGCAAACAATTTCATATTTTTAGGTATTTTTATTATGAAAAAATTTGCTTGGATATGAAAATGTGGTAAAGGTGAAGACTCATTTATAGATTTGGGTTTCGTGTTTATTTTGATTTTTATATTTTCTCATATTAAACATTATTCGTAAAGGTGTGTATGTAAGTACATAAATATGCATACCATAAGAAGTTATACAAATGCATTTTGACAAACATTCGTGACGGCTGCGGTACACGCACTTTAATTTTACGTATTTGTATTTATATGTAAATCATGACGAATTTGTACGGTGCACATTATTACATTGATTATGTTGTTCAATCTTTTTCGTATGCAAAGATTTTTTTTTTTTTTTTTGTTTTTTCGAAAGCAAAAAGCAAAAGCACATAAAAAAAAACCGAACGAAAGCGCGTTTGACATTTAAGTAAAAACCAGTCAGATGAACCGGATCTTAAGGTAGAATTTAAATGGAAGCAAGACTGGCGGTACCAGTGTGTGTACAAAATAATTTGAATAAATTAAATTAAAAAAATGTCGCAGTACACGTACGTATCTGTATTAGAACATACATATAAGTCATGTGAAAGACAACAATAGGTATAACAAATGAATGAAGCGAATTTGAAACGCCTACTATTTCAAAATACTATTTAGTATTATTTAACTTTGTGTGTTGTTGTTCACTTTTTCAAAATAAAACTATGCATATCCCAAAAATTTCGTTCAAGTTTTCGTAGAGATTGGAAATCATAAATAAAAAGCGCTACAAAAGTAACGATATAATTAATGAGCTACCCTACTTCGGTAGGGAGTTGAAACGTTTTCGAACTTTCTTTTTACTTATTTGATTTTTATGACCGCAAGTGTTTTGCAACCTTCTTAGATATTAATATTAATATGTTTTTGCAACACCTACTCCGAGCGGATCATATAAATATGATAACGATATTCAGTTCATTTAGAGCATTTAGTTCGTCATACATAGCAGTCTCGGAATAATAGTTTATATGCGAATAGTTATAATGCGATGATATGCTGGAAAGTCAAAGTAATCGATATATGATTTGTTCTTTCTACTTATTGCGGTGAGGCTATCTTAAGCTTAAGCGAAATAGTTTTTTGGAAATTTTTTAGTAAAACTACTTAAAATTAAGTGAAGAACGTGGATTGTTTACCAAACATTCAGCATTCATTGATTATAATAAATATATATTTTTATTGACGGGCAATAGGTGATGTAAAATTCGGATAGGAAAGACTATTTCTTTTACAATATTTCTTTATTTATTTCTTAAGCTAATAGCAGAGTTGCGGGTACATGTGCCAGCGTTTTTCAAAAAATTTTTGGTCATTTAGCATGTGGGCTAAGATGATTACTCAAACTTTCTGAAACGGATCTTAGCTTCGCATTAATTATTTACCTGAAATGTAACTTTTTCTATATATGGACATAAAAAAACATACTCGATTAAATTTAGAGAGTGGATAATATTGCAAAATTATATCGGATAGCTACGCGTTACCGCTGCGTAAAATTGATTTTTTCTTTTAGTTTATAGAACAGAAAAAAGTAAATGTGTTATATTGCGTCACGGTCTACGATTAAATACCGTCCTACAATTATTCATATAATAAATAAATTTCCAAACTAAAGCATTATGGGAGATAGTTGGGTAACTGGTCCCCAATACCGTTCGCTTTTAGGCCAAAACACGTTGGCAAGGCGAATTTTATGAAAATTTTTTAAAAAATTTCGATCTGTAAATTGAAAATAAGAATATACAATGAACAGATGGACAGACAAGCTTGTTTCGATTCAGAATTTTTTTCCGGCTCCATCGATATATAAATATATATATATATATATATATTAGGTCTATCTCAATTGCTCTTGGGTGTTACATATATGTGTACATATACCCGGGATACCTTTATATCGTAAGTAATGCCGAGCGTAATAGAATTTCAAAAGTGAAACGAATGAAACACCTGCGCTAGCGCAATGCTCTCTCGTGATTAGCTTACTAAGGCTGCCGAGTGACGGCTAAACCACGACCACCGAACGGATATTCAACAATAAGTGAACATTCGAAGCATCTTATTTTAATGCAAAACAAAATATCCTTAGAAACTAATGGTTATGATAGATATTACATGAAAACTTTGGAATTATGCCAAGAACTCGGGAAACATATTCGGCAATATTCAATAACAAATATATTCCTCGGTATTAATTGACAGATTTATTGTTTACAAGTGATATGTGAGGTCATCCTTACATTTTCGTGATGTTTAGAAAATTTTAAAATATTTTACAGAAATAATGACAAACTTAATGCGTGAAAAAGAAATTTTTTGCAAATGTGAATGCGTAAGTTTTATAATTAATTCACTTATGTGATTTTTGTCTTTTCTTTGTATACTTGACAGGCCATTGCGTGCATCTTTATCCAGTCCGTCATTACTGCGAAGTTAGATGCACAAAACCGTCGTCTAATTCTCGACATAAAAGATCAGAAAACCACCAATAAACAATATTACTCTTCTAATTTTGATACAAGTAAGTAAACGTTTCTAATTTGTACGTTGGCCTCACATTCTAGCCATTTATACTTACATATTTACATACTTACATACGTACAATTTTGTGGTATTAAGTTTTCTCTTCTCACTTAGCAATTGCTCCACATATAGGTATCTATGATTAACTTATCTTCCTCCATACTTTCAATTTAGTTCTCTCAACTTTACGCTTAATTTTACTTTTTTTCCATATATATCTAAAATATTTTCTTACCTTTCTAAATTACTTTTACTGTTGCTCACCATGAGATCACATTGAAAGACCTACTAGTTTTATGTGTTCATATATGTAACAATTAGCCGCATTCTTGTCCTTGATTTTGTATTTTGTTTTTTTTTTTTTTTTTTTTGTAAATTTTATTTATAACAATAACTTCTCCTTTTGGTTCTCTTTAATGCAAGAAAATTAAAAAAAAAAAAATAAAAAAAAAAAAAAAAAAAAAGAAACTAACTTAACTCTTTCCCGTAGTCGTAGCAAAATAAAAATCATATAAAAACATGCTGTAAATGCTGCAATTATTCGTACATAATAATAAGTAAGGCCTTGTGCAACTATACTCAAAGCCGCATATATGCATACATGCTCGTATATTTGCTCTGTGTAAATGTATAGTATTTTGTGTTTTTTGTGAAAGAATAATAATCTTTACTGTGAACAATAAATGCGTAATTTATCGTATATGTCTTTTATAAACAAAGTTAAACGAAGGAAATGTAAAGATACATAATTTATCTCGATTGAACGAATATATATATATGTATCATTTAGCTTCTAAATGTAATCGTAAAAATGTACAGCTTTATGAAATCGTACCAAGAAAGAGAGTTATAGTCGAACGAGCTCGAATCCGTGTATACCCACTACTAATATGTCAGTTTTGCAGTGAACAATCTCTAAGAAGGTTTAGTGTGGGGGGACTCACGTTTACTTAAATATTTATACAAAATAAATAATAGTTTTTTTTTTTGTTTTCTTTTCGGAACACTAATAAACACACTATTGTCATTTTGTACTACGTATATTATAAAAATTGTGCCAATTATGCATATGTTTATGAGTTCTTTTCCGAGAATTTGGCATCATTGGTCGAAGTACGTTTTTTGGCTAAACGTCTTGATGTGTGCCGTTCTGACAAGTGAAACTCTTTGTATGGAGTTTCAAGGTAGGCAAGCTAATGAACTATTGGACGTAGCACAGTCCGTTGTACTTCTGTTCATATGCTACTTCAAAACAATGACCAGTTTTCATTCAATAATCTTAATGATAATTAATTGTCCAAATGTCTTGCAAAGACTTGAAAATAAAATGGGAATAAATTGCCGATCAAAGTGTCATCTTTGGTACTATTTTTTTCAAAATGTATGCAGAAAAAGCTTTAGCTCAGCTCCAATTATACCATATGAAGAAATTGTAAAAACATCATAGCCGGGCAAGGCCGCCTAATATAATTTTTCATTCATTTTCAAATCAACCAAAAATTGTTCCTTGTTTTCATATAAATAAAAACTTAATTATCATCGGAGTGCTCATATGAATGGAAACCAAGACAGATGTTGTTCATCTAAACGACTACTTTCCGTGGGGACCATATATGGGGCACGACCAAAAAAAATGGATCTGTTTGGTGCAAATTTTGTGCAGCGAATTTTAATGTTAAATCACTGTTAAGGACCATTTCTCAACATACAAGAGAAAAAAGTTAGACCTTCTAGTTCTAAGGGCTTACTTTCCGTAGGGACGGCTGTGGACTGTCAGCTACAAATTTTCTAAAACAGTTAAGTATGCTGAAACAGTTTTATTCAGCGATTTTTGCCAAAAAATGTTAACAATTGCGAATTTGTTTATATAACGACCTTTTCCCGATTCCGGCATCATATGGGTAGTGGTCGTAAAAGTGAACCGATGCAGTTAATTTCTAACAGGGTTTGTCCTTGCTCTAAAAAAAAAGTCAGCGCACCAAATGCCATCAAAATGTCTCTGAATTTGCAACCAATAAAGTGAACAAAATTATACATGGGCCAATGCCAACGGGCAGATAAACAAACAAGTTTGTATATGATTAGAATATAATTCCGAGTCCAACCCTACGATAACAGTTGATCGTATCTTAAGTTTTTCTGGATGGTACTTATATCCATACAAACGTTGCGTATCATTGCAACTGTTTCTATACAAGTTTATGTGAAAGCGTCAGCGTTTTGAGACGTTGAGGAGGAAATTGTTATGATATCTGTTGGTAGGTACTACCTATGAAGGAATGAAAAAAATTTGCGCTATCTAGTGGTGGGTAAACAAAATAGTATACTATTGTTTATATACGGCATTAGTAAAATCGGTCTTTTACTATACATCTATACATACACAAATATAAATTGTATATAAAAATTAAAGAAGAAAAAAAAAGAAAAAGAAAATACGGAATTGAATTTTTTCCAACTTGTAAATATTATCAGACAACGAGGCTCAATTTAATATACGTATTTTTATATGTCGTGTCAAAGGATGTGTCGCATAAGAAAAGCTTTGCTTTCTCATTCTATTCACCACTGCTCTGTTACTGAACTGCTAAATACAATATAACTAAACCTTAACTTGCCAATTCTTGCCCTGTCTGTATTGCCTTATGATTATTCGATATATCTTTGTTAATTAAAGGAGTCTTTAGGTTATAAAATGGAAATTTTTCATTTACTCGCGAAAAAAAAAATTGTCTTCTATTTTAATAAGGTCCATATTTCTTTCGTATTTTATTCACTTAAAATTTTCAATCGCGCAGCAGAGCATACTTTATAAAAGCTCGTTTATCCATTATCTGATCAAATTCAGTTTAGTAAAGTCCGAAAAAAATCCGTTTAGGCAGTGCTTAGATTTATTAATTGACTGAAAGTGAAAACTGAAGACGAGTATTTATTGTTTACGAAATAAAGAGAGAGACTTACAACAATAAATATTCCCTATGAAATTTTCCTGTGGATTGTACAGACGCATACCGTTACGGTTATGATATCGGTAAAACTGGTAATTTCCACCACGAAACACGTGGGCCTGACGGTGTTACATACGGATGTTACGGCCACATTGATCCAAATAAAATCTTACGCGCTACACATTATGTTGCTGATACGCGTGGTTATCGGACTGTGGAACCTCAAAAGCCTGTTGTTACATATCCTGAAGCCGATGATCCTATCAAAGGACCGAGCAGTGGAATATTACTGCAATGGGATGAATTATACTTTCCCATTGGTTGTGGCAAATTTGAAGGCGGTGTGCGTCCCGATATTCCACTTGTTTTTATTGACGATGTACGTGTAAATAAACCTCTGTATATAGATTTGTTTATAATTGAAAGCCTGTATTCCACAGGGCACAGACAACCATGTATTCAATTTTACCAAATTTACGCATTTAACGCCTAAAGACTCAAAACAAAATGGCCTTAATGCGCACTCGAATAACGGTGGTAGACCTGTTCACAGCAGTGCTGGGCTTTTCGACAATAGTCATACGTATGAAGGCTCACCTGGCGCTCAGGCTTCAACAACGCACGCAATCCAATCTTTATATCCAAGCGGTGATAACCAAGTTAAAAGTGAGAAATAAGAGCTCCCAGTGGATGTGAGCATTGCCACATTGTGACTACGACATTTATTTGTGTTTCAGATGTAGCATCTGGTCAACTAAACCATTTTGCAATCACCCACAATAAAAGTGCTGATGGTCAGGGTTTTGGTAATTTTCAAGGTCCTGGAAGTAAACATACTGGAGACAGGAAAAACTCAGGAACACATGGCCATTTAGACTTTAAGGGATTTGAAGGCTCCAATACTCCTACTTCACAATCACGTCCGTCTACACAACATGAAAATTCTCTCGATTACGTGCTTCATGGGTCTTCTAGTTCTCACCATCCTGTGGAAACTCACTCTAATGGTTTCCAAGGTTCTGGCGGCTCTGCCAGTTCTGCTGGGTTTGCTAGTTCGGTGGGTTCCGGGGGCCTTGGAAGCGCTGGTAGCTCTAGTAACGGTTCTAGAGATCCTAGTAATTTCGGTGGTTCTACCAGTTTTGCTAGTTTCGACGGCCCTGGCGGTTCTGGCGGTTCTAGGAGCCCTGGCGGTGGCGGCGTTTTTAGCGGGTCCGGCGGTCTTGGTGTTTCGGGTAGTTCTATCGGTTTTCCCGGTCCTGGCAGCTCTAATAGCTATGCCAGTCATGCCGGCTCTGGCGGTTCTGATGGTCCTGGCGGTCTTCCCGATTCCGGTAATAATGCCAGTTTTGGCGGGTCCGCCAATTATGTCGGCTCTGGCGGTTCCGGCAAATATTCAGGCAGTCACGGTTCTGGAAATTATGCCAATTTTGGCGGCACTGGCAGTTCTAATAAATCCGCTGGTACCATCAGTTCCGTCAATTCCACGGGTTCCGTCGGTTCCGTCGGTTATGTTGGTTCGGTCAGTTCCGTTAGTTCCGTCGATTCTTCTGGTTCTATGGATTCTGTAATTTCCGTTGATCACGTCACTTCGGTCGATGCTACCACTTCCGCTGGTATTGCCGGTTCCGCTGATTCCGTTGGTTCTGCTGGCTCTGAAAGCTATACTGGCACTGATCCTAGCGGTTCTCCTAGTTCCCACGACCTATTTAAACCAGGCTCTCATAATTCTATTGAAACACAAAGACCGTCTGGCCTCTTTGACTCTGAAGGATCTGGAAAATATGAACCGTCTCCATCAGCAAGCTTTACTGAATTTACAAAATATGAATCAAACGATTTTCCGGCTCTTAGCCTGGACGGAGCGACTACCTTGTCTGGCAGTTCTTCCGACTTCCTAGGGAAATATGGATCGGACAGCAGGCCTGGATCGGGATCCCCAGGAAAACC